TTTATCCTGAGGGGGGGGTCCCAGTATTTGAGGGGGTCCAGCCTGGTTCTGGGAGGGGACACAGGAATTTGGGGGCTGGGAGGAGGGGTCCCAGCATCTGGAGGGGTCCAATCTGGTTCTGAGAGAGACCCCAAAATTTCAGTGGTGGGGAGGGGGTCCAGCAATGTGGGGGTGTCCCCATCCAGCCCTGCCGTGGTCGGGGTCCCCGTGTGTCCCCCCTGTCCCCCCCTGTGACCCCGCTGTCCCCTCCCTTGCAGCCCGGCCTCCCCTCAGACACTGAGGAGCTGTCAGAGAGTGAGGAGAGCGTTTATTCCGGCCTGGAGGATTCGGGGAGTGACAGTGAATCCTCTGGGGATGCTGAGGAGCAGCAGCAGGAGGAGGAGGATGAGGAGGAAGAAGAAGAAGCCCCTGGAAGCCCCTCAGCTCCCCAGACACAGGTAAGGCCTTGATGTGATTTTTTTCCCTGGTTCTGGGGGGCTCCCATTCCATTCCTGACCCATTCCTGGGATATTCCCAAAATCCAGCAGTGCATTGGTTCTTCCTGCTCCAGTTGTCCAGGAAGGATTTGTGTCTAGGGATGAGTTTGTCCTGGGGTAAATTGTGGGAAAAAGGGAAATTAAACCTTCCTGGGCCTTTTCCAGAGGTTTTTCTGGGAGAGCTGGGACAGGGTTTGGGATGCAGGCTGGAGGGACAGCACCCAGGGAATGGATTTATAGGATATTGGGGAGGAATTCCTGGAGAATCCAGGAATCCCTGGAATATCCTGGAATAGCAGGAGGTGTCCCTTGGGAATGGGATCATCCCTAAAATCTCCTCCATTCCCACCCCATTCCCAGGATTCCAAGGCTGGATCAGCAATTCCAGGAGAGAATTCCCAGGGAATTCCCACCCCAGCCACGTTCCCATATTCCCACCCCCATTATCCCAGATTTTTCCCTCTCATCCCAGAATTCCCAATGTTTGGGATTGAGGAGGATCCTCCCCATTGCTGGGATCCCAAACTTC